AAAAAAAATTGCTATAGAAACTGTTGTGGGACAATTCGTACCTCTACACCTAGTGACGCATTCTCCATACGAAATTGTGACCTACACAGGCATAAGCATCCATGGGTTATGAGCCAATGCAATTATTAGCATCAGAATTCCTAAATATTGACGTGACACCTGGGATGCATTTAGAATTATTATTCCATCATTTCCATGCACATTTCTCAGGACCTTTATATTAAAAGGGAATTTTTAACTACAAAATTTGTGCTGGCTAAGCTTAAAAGGCATTCTTCAGTTTAGTTTCTAAAATTAATCAGACTAATCCCATGTAGGATTAAGAAATTCTAACCATCTCTAGTTTTTACTCTGATGCTCATGAAATCCATCTTAGATTAACTATTTATCCATATAAAGTTTATAAACCACTTCCTATATACTCTAACCCCAATTAAATCAATTTCAGATATTTTTAACTTTTGATGGCACCCAGATTACTACATTGCGAGTAAACTGTAAAATCACATGAACGCAACAGCAGGTGAACTAACGGAAGAAATTCACAAACCTCCTAGACCAGTGTCTGTAGGAAGAGTAAAGGAAAAAGGCCATGAAAACCACAATTATGGCGTAAATTAGAATGGTAGTGATGCTGATCCTACTCGGTCCCTTCTTCTTTTTACTTTGTTGCAAGAGAGCTTGAGGCTTGATCCGCGCCATAAAGCTTTTACATAAACTTCAAATCTTAACTCTACAAGAAAATCACATATCATCAAACTTCATTCACATAAACACAGTTTCAGCATAGTTCCAGATACAATATCAAAATCCAGTACCCAAATTTCAAACCGTCGATCTAATAACCAGAGGGACAAATTTCAAATAAAAGAACAAAATGCATTATGAAAAATTAAAAATAAAAAAATCTTCAATTCACAAGTTATATAATCAGGATATTTTATCAATCAATAGACGGAAACAAATCAAGAGAGAAATTACCAGATTTAAATGAGGGAAAACCAATTCTTTTTGCATAAATTCAACTAGTGAATTTTTCCAGCCGTTTCTGCTGCGGGCCTTTCAAATTCCAAATCCGTATTTTCTTAAAATATAGCT